ACGTTTTGTCCTGTTATTATTTTCAATAAACTGCACATGGAACTTGCCTTGTTTCCTCCTGGCATTCCGTGACAAAGGTTCCGTTCATTAACAATAGTAAGTGCATTGGATATCAGAAACAATGAACAGTATTTTTACAGCATGTATTTAGGTTAATTTTCAAGTACACTGCTGTTCATTTTTGTTCATAATACATGCTAATTAATTTATGACAGTTGAAATTTTAAGTAATATTTGTAAAAATTGACATTAAGCAAGATTGTTATTTTATTATGCCAGATGCATTAAATAATGTTAGTGTACTGAACCTTTTTTGCTCCATCCTTGCAGCTGTTGTTTTACTGCATTGTGTTCCAAATATCTAAATCTTTATTTTATCCTGCACTTTCTGCTGAGATTATAGTTGGGCAAAGTTAAGGAGGTTAATCAGATATGTTCACTCACTCAGAAACCCTCAGTCGGACGTTTTAAGTCACATAATGTTCGGGAAAATTCACAAGACACCGAAATCCTCTTTAGTTTAATACTGACTTGTACTAAACTACTAGACCTTTTGGTAACGGACTCATTGACCTCAGCTTGAACACTGAGAAACTAAGAGGTTTGCATGTGCATGTGTGTGCAGGGGCCCTCTGCTATGCTGAACTAGGCACAATGATCATGAAGTCTGGTGGAGAGTATCCGTACCTGATGGAGGGTTTTGGGCCATTGCTGGCATACCTATATTCCTGGACCACGATCACCGTGTTAAAGCCTTCGTCATTTGCCATCATCGCCCTGAGTTGTGCCGAATACGCCTCCACACCGTTTTACCCAGGGTGCACTCCTCCTCAAGTGGTCATTAAGTGCCTGGCTGCAGCTTGTATCTGTATGTACAGGTCTCTTTTTATATTCAAATGACGTTATACTGGACTCAGCTGTTGTCTGTTCTCTCCATCAGTAATAATTACAGTCATCAACTGTCTGAGTGTGAAGCTGGCCTACAGAGTGCAGAACTTTTTCACAGTAGCCAAACTCTTGATTATTGTCATCATCGTGGTTTCAGGCATCGTTCTACTGGCTCAAGGTACCTTTTTTACCCAATCTGATATCTCAATGATCTGGTATCTCTTCCATCTTTGTGACTCATATCTTATTTGATATTAATTTTTACTGACACCTGACTTACGTGACACTAAATAGAACATTTTAGTATTCAATTAAATGGACTGAGATCAAATACATTTTGATACAGATAAAGAAATAATTTGTTTATTATGTTGTGAAAGATGACTCATCGTAGACTATGGCCAGAGATTACTGTAGATGCGTTTAGATAAAATGACCTCTGTAAATGTTCAATGGAAGATCAATAAAATGTATCTTTTTCTTGTTATAATGTTTTTTAGGCAATACCCAGAATCTCAAAGACCCATTTGCAGGCGCAACAACATCATTTGGAGCAATTGGCCTTGCATTTTACAACGGACTATGGGCTTATGATGGATGGTAAATTATTGATGAGCTCATATAATGTTGCACATGTGGCATATGAGGCTAATGTTAAGCAGCAGTGTTCATCTTTTTGTAACGTTTAATACACATACGGTTTCTTCCGAGTCAACATTTTAGTGTGCTTTCAGCCCTGGGAATCATTCACACAATCTAATGATTTCTCTGTTAAAGCAACAGCTGATAAGAGGGAATTTTCAGCACATGTGAGGAAATGGGAAATGGGAAAAGGGAATTGAATGCTTTTTGTAACTTCAGTGCAGTACTTTTTTTCAGTTGCCTGGACTTTCACCAGATTGTTCTCAATCCAGGGGCTTTATTGTTCTAAAAGAGAAGCATGCACAAGTCTAGAAGTCAGCTTCAGTCAGCTATGGCAATTCATTTAAAAGTAATTTTGTCTTTTTCATAGGAATCAGCTTAACTTCATAACAGAAGAGCTGAAAAATCCGTACAGGTCAGAGTGAAATGAAACTTGACATTTTAATTCTATTTTTCTAAATCATATGAAAACTGTATACATGTGCATGTAAGTTTCCCCCATTAAATACGGTATGTGCTTCAGTGTTAGCCATGAAGTCTTATTGTGTTGTTCTCTCTTTTTTGAACAGAAACCTTCCCCTGGCAATAATTATTGGGATTCCCCTGGTAACTGTGTGCTATATATTTGTCAACATTGCATATTTCAGTGTCATGACCCCTACTGAACTTCTGCAGTCTCCTGCTGTTGCTGTGGTGAGTGTGCATTATAGTCATAGTCACAGGCTGTGCCTGAGCAGGTATTTATTTTGAATAAGTAATTACTCTGCACAGTGGCGTAACTTAGTAATGACGGGCCCCAGTGCAGGCTGACGGCCCCCTGGGGTGCACGGTTATGAAGCACATACAAACACACAGCGCTCGTGTCTAGAAGGGAACCCATATTTGCTAATTTGTGCCTAACCTACTTAATTTAGACCAACTCAAATCAGTATCTTATCAGTTTCTTGTATTAAATTGACCATCGAAACTCAAATCGAAACTCGTAACTTAGTAATGACGGGCCCCAGTGCAGGCTGACGGCCCCCTGGGGTGCACGGTTATGAAGCACATACAAACACACAGCGCTCGTGTCTAGAAGGGAACCCATATATGCTAATTTGTGCCTAACCTACTTAATTTAGACCAACTCAAATCAGTATCTTATCAGTTTCTTGTATTAAATTGACCATCGAAACTCAAATCGAAACTCTTTGCGTGCGTCTCTCTCTAACACACACGGCTGTGCGGCTGGCCGCAGCAGCCAGAAGCACCAAATTAATCGTGTTGAATTTTACAGTCATCAGCATGTGTTACCTATTGTATTTGCAAAGCACAGAAGGCAAGGTTATCAGAAGCATTGAGTGTTTCAGCGCTGTGGTGCTGAAATTACCGCTTTTCTTTTGTTTTTTTTTAGCACATTAACCCAGTAATCGCGGCAACCGCATTCCTCTCCGAAGGTCTAAAAATGATCAACACCATGTCCCGAATCATGGCCAACTTCAGCGCCAACAACCACACACAAATGTAATACCCACGAGCACATACCCACAGTTGCGCCTGCAGGTGTAGGGCTGTACGCACTGTGAGTACCATGAGCGCTCACACTGACCTGAGATTTGCCCCGCAAACATTTCAGCAGTAAATTATAGGCCTGTGTGTCCCGTATTTCTGTACTTTACTGTACCAGTTACTGAACCAGCCATGCCATTACTTATGAATTTATCAGTCTTTTGCATGCCAAAGTCAATTTCTGTGTTTATTGCATTATTTCAGTTTCATGTGTGTTACCATGATGGTGTTTAGTGTCTGTGTGAATGACACTGTGCACCTTCTATATATGTTATTATTTAAAAGCTGCTTGTGATGGGCTTTGGTTCATCATGTGACTTTCTCATCAACACCTGCATTGGGTGGGTATCAGTGTATTACAAAGGTACAAAACAGATTTCAGTACTTCAATAGGTCGGTATATTAATATTATATGAGTTAATGAAAATACGGTATTTAACTGTATATTGAAGTTAAAACCGTAAAACCTAAAACGTTGCTACCGTATTGTTTACGGTAAAATTCCGGCAACCACAGCTGCCGTTTTTTTACCGTAAATTTTTTTGATGACGATCAGCTCACTGTCTGCCGCTGGCCTTACTTTAAAAAAGCCTTACATTTAACGAACAAAAAATGCTCCAAACGTTTTTCTAAATTAACTTTATTAAAAAATGAAAGGCAATATAATCACTTTAACATTACATAGGCTACACTCTCGAGGAGACCCCACATAAATGACCAAAAAAAAAAGAATTAGCGCTTCTAGGTGTTTCTATACAACGGCTGAGGGAGTGATGGCAAATTTGACGTCAATCTCAATATTTTTCTCCTCTTTTGGAAAGTCGTGGAAATGACATATAACAAATAAAACAAGACTATTCATTCTGTTATATTTTTATTTACGGGTGGGACGTGTGTCCCCACGACCCCCAGCCACTTTTTTGCAACATCTCTGGGCACGCACGGATGTACCTAAAGAAACATCTCCATTTGATAACAGATTCGATGGTCTGTTCAATAACAGGCGATCTATCGCTGCAATGTGTTATGGCGAGCGCTCATGCTGCTGTTATCAGTTCTCTCTTGGCACTCGTGCACAATGCGATCGTACGCTTTGTTCTGGTAAAAGCACAAAACAAAATGCACACAAACATGTCCTTGCTCTTGATATACAATCACTGATGAACACCTTTGGTTTTAATGAGAGAGAGAAAAAAACTACACGAGGGTGGATTAGAACCCAAACCTCGGAAATGCTTGACAAAAGTTTTACCACTACATCACTAGAACACACACAGACAACTTAGTTCTGTGAAGAATACTAATTGTATTTGATTATTAATAGGTTTATTATTAATTTATATTAATATAGTCACCTGCATGTGGGCCCCC